CTCAACCAAATTCGTCTCACCTTTCATCTTACCTTTTTGCTTATCCTTGTTCTTAGGACAATCCCTAATACTTACCACAACTATAACACCGCCTACCACTAGACTTGTCCCGTCCCTTGCCCTTCATCTTACCACTTTCATCACTCGAGTCACTACTCGAATCACCATTATTTTGAGCTCTATCCAAATTCTTTTTCTTAAACTTCATCTCACTCCTTATCATGTGTAACTCACCACTCCTCTTATCTTCATTTTCAGCCTTCATTTCGATCTCCTTACTCCTAAATGAGTTTATGACAATCTCGGGAGTCAATGTATCCCTACCATACTTAATGACATTTTTAACTTCCTTATATGACTCAAGCATAGAATTAACCAAGATTATAGGCTTGTAGGTTTCAGATACGGTTTCTTCACAGTTAACAATATCTTGGACAAGTTTATTGAAAATATCTAAATTGTCATCAAGATCCTCTGAAGGATCCATTTTAAAACTGAAGAAACGCTCAAAAAGATAAAGTTTATTGGGAGTGGATTTAAGCAAATATAGATCTTCCAATTTTTTCCAAAGATCTTTTGTGGTTTTCAGTTTTCCTACTTTTCTCAAAACAACGTCAGACAAATGTAAAATGATTGAGGTATAATCAAGCTCATCGGCTTCTTCTTTTTGTTCTTTTGAAAAATTAGCTGAAAATTTGCCTTTAATTACTTTTGACACCTTTTGTTGGACTAAAATGCCCTCATTTTTTGTTGCCAGATTGAAAAATCACCTTTTCCATTAAAAATACCAATTTCGAAATGTGAAGACATTTTTGAAAAACGAAGCAATCAATTGGGCAAATAGATCACACAAAGTAATCATACGGTCGCAATATACACCGTTCTAGATTCCTAGGGTTTCGTAATACTCGCGATCTTAGATCTAGGAAACGTTCGAATGGGTAAGGTCTAGGTATTCTAACGGAAGTAACAACATAGCGGAATTTACGATGTAACAAAATAGGTATATCCAATCAAATGAAATTTCATGACAATTTTAGTACAAAACACAATACGCTAATTTATCCAAAAAATAAGTACTCAATCGCAACAATTAAGAGCAAATAATCCTAATTTCTAGCACAAGCAATGGCTACCAAGCAATGACAACCCCTAACCTATTGTCACCCCCACACGGTGACGTTCTAATGCTGAAATTAATGGGTTAAGCTAATTTATCAGAACGGACATGTCTGAGTCCGTATAATCGAGAGAGATGTGAATCTACTACTTTAGGACCACCACTATTCGTAGGCCTGGGCGTGGTTTGGTTTGGATTGGTTTCGACCTCAACCTAAAACCAAACCAAAGTAGTCGGTTTGAGCAAAATTAAAACCAAAACCAACCCACTCTAACTCTCAAACCAAACCAACCCAAACCACTTCGGTTCGGTTTGATTTGGTTTGGTTTCTCGGTTTGGACTTTTAAATAATATTGCATTGTAACTTATAAAAAATGGACAGTAAACAATGAAAAAGAGATCAATAATTCGGATTCAAAACGACTACAATTCAAGAAAGAGGAAGACAGGAACAAAAATTACAAAGGTTTAACATATTAGATTCAATTCAAAGAATAAAAGTTACAAATTACAAAAGTTTAGCAAACTACAAATTACAAATCACGAATTACAAAGTGACACTATATTCCCATAGATAATTAATATAAGATTTAGGCACTAGAGGATGGAAAGCTACGATTCATAGAGGCTTAGAGGCTGCAGCAATTTCTAGCAGAGCAATAGTCAAATTGTGGTGTCGAGACTCAGAGATAGAATATGGAAGTAACTTGTAAGATAATTTTTGAATTGCAACGGGAGAGATTGGAGTCTGGAAAGGAATGAGAAATTGAGGCTCGATTGGAGACTTGGAGAGATTTAGAGTTAGTGGGTTATCATATTTATTTTGACTCCTACAGTCCTACTTCGTCTATGAGTCCCCTTTCTTTCTTTCTTTTTTTTTTTTTTTTAAATGTTTCAATATGTAACGGGTTGGGCGGTTAACCATCGGTTTTGGTATTCAAACCATGAACCAAACCAAACCACCGTGATTTTGTCTACAAAAAACCAAACCAAACCATTTGACTACTTTAAACCGAACCAAATCGGTTTGGTTTGGCGGTTTGGGTGGTTTGGCGGTTTTTTTGCCCAGGCCTAACTATTCGTCCTAAAGATTCAGAAAATATAACCGTGCAGCCTGCCAACAAATGCAGTTCGATTTTCAGGGGCAAAATCGTCCAACTTTTTCTGTGTAACCCGAAACAGAAAACTTCCAACACGAAAAATGTTAGAAATAATTTGAGGAACAAACTTCCTAAAGATAGCTTGTCCAGAAACGACCGCACGCGCCGTCGCCGGAACACCCACGCACCGCAGTCGCTGACTGCTGTCGCCCAGACGCCTCGGCCACCCAGCACCGCCTCCACTTGCAGATCACGAATCTGGCCTCCGTTTCACCAAAAGACATTTGGATTCGTCGAAAATTGAAGTTGTGGATCCGATTTTTGGAAAAAAATTCTGGACAGTTTTATTTTTCTGATTTGTGCCGATTTTTTAATCCGATTATGCCCAGAAATTCCACCCCAACCTCGCTCTGATACCAAATGTTGAATAATCGACCTCTAATTGGTGGATTTTCCGAGCTCAATTTCACCAATGTCAACACCACTATTGAACTCAAACCCAATCAATCAAAACGGTTTCTTCCCTTCACGGTTGCTTTACTTGCCCACAAAGAGCTCACCAAGATGTACTATTCCACACAGGAAATGATCATAAAGTAATCACAAGTGAATAACAACCGAATAGATAGAAGAGAAAACGAGAAGAAGACTCCAATTGCACACACGGGTCTATTTGGAGGTAGTGAGTAAGAAGCAAGTATATAGTCCAAGTAAGGAGTCCAAATATTGTAAGTTAGGTATAGGTTAAAGTCACCGCCCAAAGGCCCAACACTCAAGTCAATGGGCTCCAAAATGGGTAACAACGTAAAGTCCTCCAAGTAAAGGTGAAACGGGCCACGAGTGACACTATTAAATTAGGTCACTTCTAGTGCTCCATACAATTTGGGGTCGGGTCGTTTTAATAGTGGCGTTGACATTTTGTTCAGCCATTTGGTCCAAACCGACTGATAACAAAAATCAGTTTTACATCATAGCTCGAGGAGTTATTGGGTATCAAAACCCAACAACAACTTAATGTGTAATTTTGTCATTAATTGATATTAATATATCTATATAATTGTGGTCTGGAGTGAGAATATTTTGGCACTACGATTATTTGAATTACATATTTAAATATTGAAAAAAGTTAGAATTCATATACTGATATTGACTTAAAATATAGCCCATAATTATTTATGCAGAAATAAATAATACACGTCCAATTTTGACATGTGCGAAACTACGTACTCGTTTAGGTGTGTTCACTACTAAATACATAAACAAAAGTCGTAGAGTTCCAACAACAATGATTTTAGTTGTATTGGGTATATGGAAAAATTGGCAAGGACGTGATTTACCCAATATTGTATTGGAACTCCACTGAATTATTTTGAAGAGAACAATGATAAGAGCTATTAGGAAAATGCAAAGTATACAACTACACACTGATTTTGCAAATCAAAATCATATATGTAGACAGAGGCCATAGACTCGCGGCAGTAACAGTTTAAAAGGTTGAGGTACATAATAAGTTTCTGGACGAGTACCTACTGGATCATCACTAGTTACAAAATCTCGAAAAATTCCTCAAGAAATCCCAAACCTTCTATAGGTGTAGTTGTCATGCTCTCAACCTTTTACCTAAAAGTTAAGTCTTCATGCTCTCAACCTTCTAGTTGTAGTAATCGTATCACTGTCTTTTTATCATAGTGTGTTCTATTCACTATTCCCACTTAATAGAAATATTTAGTCATTAAATGACCAAATCTCACACACACGTGATCTATGAGTGAAAGTATAAAATTATCTAAAAATGAGCAACATTTTTATGTAATTTAAATTGTCACCATTTGATCACGCTATAGTTTTTTAAAGTTATACCACATTTTAATTGCAATGAATGTCTTCGACTCAAATTCATTGCTGTACTTGTGTGCTTAACTTTTTTCACCAGATTCGTAGCTGTAACACTTCTATTAATTAGGGGATCTTGCTCCAAATGACGTATCTCTTAAAAATATTTGTTCGGATGTGGGTTCTCATTCTTTAACTTGCTTCCTCTTCAAAGAAAATATGTCTAAGGCTTGAGAATTTCGGAGTTCCAGCCTAACTTATTTGACGACCATATTTTTTGATAGGCAAAGAAATGAAAAAGAAGATAACAAATACAAAAGGTTCAACAAAATACTTGTCTCTCATTTTAAAGCACACTAATATTTTATTTGAACGAAAATCATCAAAGGGATAATACATGCTAATTAATTGAAGGTTAGGAATAAAATATGACCAAAAAGAGTTGAGAATATAAGTATGACAATGAGCAAAAATCGATATCTTCATTGCAATTAGAGTCATGTTATTCATCATCAATAGTGTTAAGTACTAGTATATGTAACAATTATATAACATTAAATGATATATTTATTTAAATGTAAAGTCACGTGACTCGTATAATTGAACAATAAAGTGTTGCTATCACCATCACTGCTAAATAGGACCACTCTTGCAATTATTGTAGAATAACAAAAATAATAAAATTGTACCATGAATATAATTATCCATTTAGAAATGAAGTAAATGGTTTTTGGACAATTTTAACATTTGCGTACATCTCACGTCGACATTTAATTTTCTAAATAGGTGGGTGGGATACTGTACGCACAGTATTTAAAAATGAGGACATGAATGCCATAAATGAAAGATTGGAGACAATAATCCCACCCTTATAGATGATTGGGGATCTCTGGAGTAACTTACCCTACGATCTAGAAAAACTCTATAACAGCAAGTCGCAAGGGTTTTAGGTTTATCAATACAATACCCTCTCCCTTTCTATCAAACCCTACAACCCCCAAAATCAAATTTCAATCCACTCCCAAATAAACTCCTCTGTTTCATATAATTTTATACATTCTAAACTCAAATGGCTTTCGCAGCTGCTTTTCGTCGCATTTTGAGCGGATCTTCAACGCCTTCGCCGATTCTACAATCCCAGTTTGCTTCGGTTCGCCACAATTCTACTCTCACTACACCCAAGCTCTTTGTTAGCGGTACGCATATTTTCACACACCAGCATAGTAATTATATATCTGCAGAGTATGTTATTAAGTCTGGCGGCTCATGTACCCTTTTAAAATGAATAGCCGGTAACGTATATGTTGATTCTTGTTTTTATTATATCCCTCAAGATGTTGACTCGTTGGAGAACACTGATTTTGAGATCTGGATACTGTTTGAGCTTTATATGAATTGAGTTTCTCGTTCGAGCTAAACTAAGTATTTTCCTGCAGAATATAGCCTTAGTACAGTACTATTCTTTACCAGGCGACGTAGGTGATTTGTAATTTCATAGCTGTTTAATGCCTTAAAAGCTTAATATGTTGAGAATTTCAAACATTTCGTACTTTCTTTTCGGAAAATGTTGCTGTAATAGGTAGCAAATGGTTAAAAATAAAAGATCGAATTGGATGCTGAAATTGAACTCACCTTTTAAATGCTGGAAATTAAGAAAATGAGTCTGAGTCGAACAATGCATTTTGAGTTTTGTGTTCTTTTAAATAAAAAAGGCAGTGAAAGTTAAGTAGGTTAATAGTTAGCATCTTCCGACACAGAAGACTAGAATTCGGAAGGGTGATGCTTCTGAAGAGAGAGAGAGAGAGAGAGAGAGTGTGTGTGCGTGTGAGAAAGTGAGAAATGGGCGACTTGCGCCTCTTCCTGATGAGTTAATCTGCACACCAGATTAGCGTTCATTAATCATGTTCCTACATGGCAGTTTGAGGTATGTTGGTACACATACCAAAACTCACAAATAATTTTGTAATTGGTCTTGTCGTAGGCTCAATGGAAATTGCAGATGGGTACTCAATAAGGAACCAAAAACCGGAAAATGCTTTTGTAGGTGTGCCTGTCTATGAGAATCCTTCTATGAACTAACATATTCGTCTTTCGCAACAGATTTAACTGGTTCATTTCACCAAAAATTCTACCCAGATATTTGTTTGCCTTGATCTTCTGTATTTCACTAGTTTATCGAGCTGATATCGCATTTATTACAGTGCAAATCTTTCAAGAAGATTTTTTATCTTGATCTACTTAGTGCAGGTCTTTCAAGATCAACAACTGATGAAAATCTTTTCAATGCATTTGCATCATTTGGCAAGCTTCGTGAAGGTAAACAATCCAACCGTCTATCAGAGCATGCTGTTCTGGTTTTTGCTTTAGTTATGTCTATTATCTACATCGATTTTTAGTTCTGAAGTATCTTGTTTATACAGCAAAGGTGATTGTTGATAGAGCTTCTGGAAGATCGAAGGGGTTTGGTTTTGTTACTTACGAAACAGTAGAAGAAGCGGAGAAAGCAAGGGAGGGAATGAATGCGAAGTTCCTGGACGGTTGGGTAATTTTTGTTGACCCTGCTAGGCCAAGAGAGCCTCTGCCTCGTCAACCTCCTAAACAAGACACACAGCCAAATGAAGCTGGCTTTACAACAAACAAGACTATTGGTTGGTGCGGCTGATGCTCCTGGACCATTTTTTGTATCTACTCAGCTATTGGAAAAACGTTGGCATACAATTTAAGATGGAAATTTTAGTACTGCACATTTCTTGATGAATATATTGCAATCCTATTTGACACTCTAAAAACAGATTTTGAGGGAAATGACGTTTTGGGGAATTTTTGATAGGGCGGATCCACTTTATCTAGTAACTTGGGCTTGTTAAGATAGAAAATCCCATTACTAGTGAGACACTAGAGGGTTAACAAATTCTTGAGACCGTATGGTAGATCTATAAGATTTTTTTGGGTAATTTGGGTTGTTTTGGCTGGTTTAAGGTCTCTGATTGTACCAAACTAGGCAAATAAGATAGAATACAAAGCATTAACACTTTCGTCAAAGGCAGTAGGTCTATTGGTCGCAGGTTCAGACCTTGGCCGACTCATCGAATTCCTTTGACTGAGAAATTAATTGTTGGAGCTGTACAAAACAATAATACTAGCCAGAGCGAAAGCGAGCTTATCCTATGCTTTTCTTCCGTTGACGTATGTATTTAGGCAGTGTCCTTAATGCATCTTCATTTGGAAGACCGGAGAAGTACGAATTTCGGGTTCAAATGCTGAAAGTTCTGATATATCTTCTGAGAGTACTATAAATTTGATTAAAAACTTTGCTATATTTTCTTTTTAGCCAAATCGAAGTAGCCTTTTTCAAGTCATCAACAGTAATCAGTGTCAGCATCGTCATTCCCTGCTTTGCTGCACAGTTATTTCGAAGTAGTTTCAAGTCATAAGTTTACATGTTTTGGAATTTGATAGGAAGTGCTGTTTGAACCAGGGCAAAACAACTGTACAGACCATTTACAGTGGTGAAACTTCTACTAGTTTGGAATGACAATATGTCGCGAAGAAATCAGGTTAAGCTTTGTTAAATACATGTCTAAAAACATGTCTCTAAACAAAAAGTTCAACACTCAGGACCGGGTCGGTCGGCCCAAACCATAGGTTGTCTAAGGTTTCGCTTTGATAGGATTTCAAATTATGCAAGGTCAACTAACTGGTTGAAAAAAGAAATGAAAATTATAATTGCAAAATCTTTTAAAGTAGAATTATCATATGTAGATACAAGAAATTGATATTATTTGGAAATACATAAATCTCTAAAAGAATCATATAAATGGCATAAAACTTATCACATACATTTATGTATCACATGTTCACATAAATATATCATAACCATTACTTTCTTTATATATAATTAATTTGACCATTTATCTTCCCTACCATCGTTTTTCTTTGCTTAACAAGAAACAAAAGTTCACTTTTCTCTCTTCAAAATTTACGGCCATTACTTTTTCTAGTGCTCTTATGGTGATTTTCATTTCTCTCTTTAGATTCTTGCATTTCATTTTATTTGTCCTTTTTTTTTTTTCAATTTTATAGTATCATTTTATTAATTAATGTTTTAATTAAGCCAATGCTTCTCCATTTATCATGTAATCTGGTTTGGGATTTTCCTGATCCACTTGTTATTCTTTTTTTCCATTTTTTTTAATATTTGTACTGGATTTAAATCTTGTACTTTGTTTTTTTATTTCCTTGATTATGTTTAATTGTATTTAATTGTTTTCTAGGTCAAAATCAACAATTAATTATAATAATTATCGAACCTACAACTTTTCAACCACAAATATTGAGCCTGTTTAGGAGTGATTTTGAGAATTGATTTTTTGACCGTTGGGAGAAAAATGGGGTTCACCTGTGAGAAAAATCAAATATGTCAGCTGAAATAGTAAAATAACGGTCAAAAAATCAATTTTTTGGGGCAAAAATTCGCACCCAAACAAGCTGATTATCAAATTTATCAAATTTTGCTAAATATATCATTTTAATTTCTATCAAATGGAGGCTTCACATTTGAAGTTGGGATAGAGCCCCCAAAATATGAGGGATTGCAACTTCGTTGACACGGAGTTGAGTGAGAAGATCAAATAAGTAATGGAGTTGAGTGAGAAAATCAAATAGGTAACAAACGAATCGGCGAGATGCCCTTTTCAGTGGTGGAATCAGGAGTCACCAGTATGTATTAAAATTGAAGTTGGGTAACCTGATGAGATTTATTGAAAGTTGACTAAATTTTTAAGAATTTCTAGCCAATTTAGCATCGAACCGTATAGAAGAACACAAAAGGATAGAATAATCAACAATAAATAGAATCTTATTTATTTTACAAATTATTTTATATCGAGAGTAAGCTCAAAAAGCAAGTGCAATATCCAGCCCAAATCACGCAAATAGATCCCGAACTGGCAATCCAAATGAAAACTAATATACTAATCATAAAACTGAAGTTAAAATACCCTTACCAAACAGAACAAAAAGCTAGGTGCTTGTTTGGTTGAAATTTTGTTAATTGATTTTTTGATCGTTAGTGATAAAGTGGGTCCTATATGTGAGAGAAGAATTCAAAAATGAAGGCTGAAATAATGAAATAACGATAAAAAAATTAATTTTAATTCGATTTTAAGCGGTACCAAACATGCTCTAGGTCATTTGCTTGGGTCTCTAAGAAGTTCCCCAATTAACAAACCAAGCTACCATATTGATTAATCACAACATCGTTGGAATAAAACAAAAGCACACCACTTGGACATGGCTTCATGTAACCTCTGCAACCGAATAGTGCAAATTTGCGTCGGATTTCTTCAGAAAAATAGTTCCACATAACAAGTCTTGGCTGCCCACATCAAAATCGACAGTGATCGCCTGAGGCTCACAGAAACCAACCATTTGGCCATTTTTATCCAGAAACTCGAACCTATTTATTTCGCGCGGGTTCGTCACTAACAATTAAAAAGGGATCAGACGATTGTGTAAGGGACAAACCTCTTGAGAGAAAGTCCCAAAAAGGGGTGTTCTTTATTGACAATGACTTTACAATCGGAAAGTAAAAATAGAATGCCTCCAAAGAACGCAAGCACACGAGTTATTGAAAGAAATGTTTAAATCTAAACTAAGAAATTTAAAGTTACATATTCTCTGTTCGAGAGTTTTTTGATTCAGGTCCTTTTGCTCTATGTCTTTTATTCCTTTTATACTCCCTGGATGATCTCTTTGTGATCAACCGCCTAAAAACTGCTTGATCGTTCTATAACTGCCCACTTTCCTCGTAATGGCCAACTTGTCATGGAACTGCCTTTTCTAACTGCTGTCATTACTCTTTGTCGTTCAACCATCTTCAATTGAATTCCTTGAATCGTGGAACGTGATAGGGTTGCTTTAATAACTGCTTTGATAACTGCGCTTCTTGATAACTACAACACTTCATATTTGCTAAGACCTTGGGCGACTCGAAGGTTTGGGCGAGAATAGAGTAGCAGCTCTGGGCGACTGCATGACACTATATTTTCTCAGATCATAGGCGACTTGCAAGCTTGGGTGATGGTGTTACCGCGTTCGTGGGCCTCCCTATTTGGGCCTTCATCCTGAGTTGTCTGATTGGGCTTCGTTCTTTGGGCTATCTGATTTGGGGAACCTCTAATTGGGCTTCATTCCTTGGGCTGTTCGATTTGAGTTGAATTTTTATGTGTCAACAATTACCCCCCAATATGGCAGAATTAATACCAATTATTAAATTTTGCCATATTCACTTTGTGTTTCCAGCAACATTCGAAATTTTCAAAAATTTCAATCATTGTTTTTTTCCATAGCTTGAAAATGTGCGACGTTTTGCAAACCCTTATAACCCCCAAATACGCCATTTCACTGCACCATTAAATCACGCCTCACTTTTTTCGCGCTTCTCTCCCACAATTTTACTGTTTATCTCTTTGCTTCCTTGTTACGTAACTCTAAAAAACTCCGTTTCGTCCCTAATGGCTACTTCACAATCCCAATCTGGCGACTCCGTTAGTTTTGATGACTTTCAGAAACTCCTTACTCTTCCATACATAACTCCAAACTTTCTCGCACCTGTCAATGTCGAACTCAATGAGTTCTACCTAGGTCATTTTTTCAACAATGCAGAGGCAGTCGAACAAGCGGCAGTGGGCCAGCTGTTTCCTTGTACTCAAGGCCCTCCATTTCTAAACTCTCTGCTGCTGGGGCCACTTCGCGAAAGAGGTATTCGCACTTGGCCTAAATCTGATGTAGTTTTCCATAGGTGGCATGCTCGCCTTGTGGACCATGGTCCTACTAAGGCACTTTTTGATAATGCTAGGATTTCTGATTTGTTAGAAATCTCTCTTCAACCCCCTACTTTTGATTCAGCACTTTTTTCGATCGCTTTAAATTTTTGATCTTCTGAGTATAATACCTTTGTTTTCCCTCTTGGCCCCATGTCTATTACTTTACGGGATGTTGGAGCCCTAGTGAATCTTCCACCTTTGGGCGATACCATTTTTCCTAGTATCTTGATTTCTGGTAGCGCCCCAAAGTTTGGTAAAAACCTTACCGAGTCTTATTCAAGCCTGCAAACCCTTCATAACCACTCAAGCGCTGAACCTTCCCATACTGAGCGAGTGGCCTTTCTTCTGGTTTCGCTTTGTAAATATGTTTTGTGTGTACCAAGCATAAAGCCCTCCTTGAGCTATTTACCCATAGTGCATTAATTGGCGCGTGGTAGGCCTCTGAATTTATGTTCTTTCTTTTTGGCTGCCCTCTATAGAGGCATGGCTTCTCTTCAATCTCAATTGAAGAATGGTGCATCTCCCACTGACAGTGGACCTCTTTGGTTCACTCAAATGTGGTTGAGATCCTATTTTCCATCGCTTGGTGCTCCATCATTTTCTCGTCCTTCTGCTAGCTGTTATGGGCTAGTCATTGAGCCCCTGGCTCCTATAAATATGTCTAGAAGGGACATTTTTTCATCCTTTTATTCTGAAAATTCAATCCTTCCTTCTTTCCTTTTCCTCCCTTTTTTGACTCCGGACTATGTGCATTTATTTGACGTTTATCTTTTAATTGCCAATCCTTCAAGCATTTAACTGCTTTGTGCTAAAAATCTTGCACATTTTCTCTTGATATTTCCAGCTCTTTTTCCAAGACTTTGGGCTACTTAATTCCATTTACTAGGCAGAATGTGGTTGCTCATATTCTGTCTCTTCATCTCCACCCCCTATAAAAGCACGTATGCTTCGCACTTTCCATCTTCCATCTTCA